CGGAATGACGAGCTGAAGCTGCCACACATCCTGTGGGACCATCCGTTCGGTGCCGAGCTTCCCGCTGACTCTCCGGATATCTCCGATGGAGACTGGGAGCCGGTTGTCCAACTGGAACTGAAGATCTGGCTGTGTTTTCATGCTGCAGCAGTAGTACAGCTTACTTTTTTAATGTTACAATAATTTAGTTGGATCGTACTTAAAATATCGCAGGCCCTGCTTTTTATTCTGTATATGGAACAAGGAGGTGAAAAGTGATTGGGGGTGGAGGGAGAAGGGATGGACAGTTCCCAGGAGGATCATATAGATCGTTATTCCTGCTTCAGTTTTTCCTGAAAGCTTAGCTATCCAGGGAGGGGGGGGAAGCTGGCTGCTGTTAGCAGCCCTTTAGCGGTGATGGATTTCTCATGTGTTTGTTTACACTGTAAAGTTCAAATCATGATTTGCTCTGCCTCTGACACTCTGCCTTTTTTTTTTTTTTCCTAAAAGGAATGTGGAAATTATTTCCACGCTCCTAATTATCTTTCAATACCTCTTCAGGACAGATTAAATTGCAGGATTCTTTAAGTGAACTCGAGTCCTCCGGTAGGCTGTGTCCAAATGTGTAAACTCAAAATGGACACACTGATCCTGTGTGTCAGGGGAAACAGAAGAGGAACGTTTGAGAAGCAGCTCTACGTGTGCCATGGTTGCACAGCTGTGCATTTGTCCCCTTCAGTGCCTTCTAAATTCGTTCTCAGGTTTCAGGCTCGTGTTCTCCTGGGAATGTAATCACTCAGGCGCTGAGTTACGTCAGCATGGATAGCAACCGCATGTGACCTCTGGGTTTCATAGGCTTCAGCACTTGGTGGTTTTCCCTCACAAGTGTGACTGGGTTGGAAAGGCTTCCTGTCCTTTCAACTACTGGAAAGCGAAGGAAAAAGAAAAGGAAATCTTAAATTAGCTATGATTTTCTGTTGTTGGATCATCATTTCTTGTTGTTGATCAAGTAGGCTTAACGTCTTTGGGCGTCTCTACTCCTCACTCCTCCGCCCTCCCTTCAGATAGTAAACTCCAGAGAGCTTTTGTCTTAGTTGCCACTGGTTTTATCTTCTGTCCGCTTGCCTTTGCTGTGGATGGCAAAACAGATTAATGGAAGTTGGGACTTCAAGTGTTAATGGCGGGTAGATTGGGTACGGCTCTTAATCTGAAAGTGTTTATGGGACATGCACCGTAAATCATTGATTTCTTAAAGTCCTTAATAGCTTCACACCCTAAACACAAACCAGGGAGTGCTGCCCTAATAAACACCTTAGTAACTGGGCAGTGCTCTTAAAAGTGCTCCAGGATAATTCGAATTTGCCACAATATATTCTCAAGGTGGAAGAGGTTAACTACAGGTATTAAAAATTAATTGGTAAATTTGCAATGTGTTTCCAAACAAGCAATTTCTCAGTAATTATTTATGCAAAACAAACATTTTAGACATATAAAGATTTAACTCACTGTTATTTGATGTTGTAACTGGAAGGATGGCATTCATATGGTCAGTGTTTTAAGGCCTCGAACTTGCAAATCCTTAATTGTGTGTTAAGTTAACTTAGAGAAGTTAACTTCTAAGACAAGGGAAAAGTTCCCTTTGATAACTCTTGAGTGCAGAGGAACACTTGCATATTTCAAGTTACATATGCATCTAGGTCTTTGCATGACTGCATTTTCTTTTTTTTAACATATCAATTACTTGCAGCAGTTATTCCTAGCAAAATGACTCTTTCTGCCCTAAGCTCTACACGAACTGTGAGGAACTCTGATGTTCTTTCATACTGTCATTTGCATGTTTTGTTTTAAATATTACCCTACTGTATGAATTTTTCCCTTAATAATATCAAGCTAGTTTAGATTACAAACAAAAGAGACCAAGGAACCACATAAGAGAACACATTTTATTTTCCTGTATTTAAAAAACCCGACTTTTAGGGTCATAGCTTTATGTTGATCGTATTGAATGAGTTGTCTGAAAATACACGTTCCCTGCAGGTAATTATTGATTGCTAACACATTTTCATGTAGATTGGGTTTTACTCAAGGGAGTTAACTTCAGCATGTGGTGTCATTTCCCTGTAGTGTTATTCCCTTTAAAAAGAGTGGATGATAATGGGACTAGGTGTGACCTTAAGAGGTCATCTAGTCCATCCTTCTGCCCTAAAGCAGGATCAACTGTGCTTAAGACATTCCCAACAGCTGTTTGTCTAACCCCAGCAGTGTCTTGCAGACAGAAAAGCAAGATTACAAAAAAAATGAAAAGGAAGATGTAGGATATGTTCCCTATATAGTTTTCCTTGTTACCTACATCAGAATGAGAAACAAATGGAGATATCCAAACAAGTCAGTCTGGATGTTTCTTGTGGTTGGAAACTCGAACCTTGCAATTCTCTGTTATATCCTGAATAAAACATTGAAGCAAGCTGAAGTAGCACAGATGATGAATGTGTACTATTTCATTCTAAAAGTGATAGTTTAAATTGCTGTCACAGCGTGTGCCAGCACTGACATTTTAATTCTGTTCAGCTTACATTAATTACAAAGTTGTCCCAATTCCTTCTTCTACTGAGTAAAATGAACAACTTTTTGGCATTATTGAACACCAGAAAAGTTGTTTTAGTTGATTTATAATGCTGAATAGCTTAGTTCATAGGATTGTCATCTGCCTTTGAACCTGTTAAGTCACAGGTTTACTACTCTGACTCTTTACAAAGTTGCTACCAGCATGGCAGTAGATAGTTCATGGATTTAGCAGCTGTATTCAAGAAAACTTAACCACTTCAGACATGTTTGGAACTGTTTCATATTTAAAAGCTGAAACAGAAGTCTAATGTAACAAAGAAATCGTATCTGTAAAGATCTTAGAGAAATTTCAGTCGGCCTAAATCTGTAAAATACAAGCATTAAATGATGGATGGTCTGTATGATGAACATCACCAATGTTTGAATCCCAGATTTATTACCATGCTTTTCCTAACTCGGTTGACAAATGAAATTAACAATGAGTAAAGAATCAGAAGTTAAAGATAAGTGATAAGGAGAAACTGTAATTGTAGGTGGTGTTTTCTACTTTTTCCAACACTCAGTTTTACCGAGGATAGAGGGTTTCACACCCCCTCCCAACCTGCACCTACGTTTGTTCTTCCCCTGAACACCATACCTCTGACAGGAGCATGCTTCCAGGCTGAAGAACCTTGGACACACAACTGCTGATGAGCAATTTAACCAGTAGGAAGATAAACCTGCAACAGGAAGAAAAAAATGGAAAGGCAATTGGCTCCCACTTTTCCATCCGCTCCCCAATTCAATGTTGTGGTTTCTGTCCCTCCTCTTCTAATTAAGAGTCCCTGAATACAAAATTAGTGTCAAATGATAAAGTCTATTCCTTCCTTAGGGAAAGCCTCCTGGCACGTCCTTGCTTTTTGTTCATGTCTCATCATGCCCCATGTTGTCCGTGATCCAACAAATACCAGATACCTCATTGCCACCTGCATTGTTCCCAGTGGCACTAAGTCCTATATGGATAGATGTTTTCAGTGTGCTGGGAAAAGAAAAACTTTCAGGCAAAAAAGTTTTCAAAAGTTTAAATAAAATCTATTAGTGTTATAAATTAAATGTACAAACTGATACCGAGCATTGCTGAAACTTGGTTGAAATATAAATTAATTTATGGTATAGATATTTTATCTTAGATTTGAGGCTTACCCTGAATATAGGCAAATTTCAGTAGCTCTTGAAAGACTAGTTCATCGTAATGACTCTGAAGAAGGTTTTTAGGGTCTAAGACAGACTCATGTTCAGCTTTATGTGCAGCCTGCTCATAAAGAAATTGTTGCTTTGGGTGGTCTTCAGTATAAGGAGGGGTTCTAACCCCACCTGGAAGTGCATTTTGTGTACTGTAGCACAGCGCAAGAGCGTGGGGCTTCGATGCTGCCTCCACAGTTACCGAAGGGGCTGTGATTGCATAAACACGGCAGGGACGTGCGAGACAACGTGTTGGCTGTGTATCTTGCTTTGGGTGGAAGGGGAGGGGTGGGAGATTTATTATTTCACGTCACGTAAATGATGCCCCTTGCTCCTAGGTACAATTCCGTATTCAGTTTCAAATTGATCTTTCACTCCATGTTCTCTAAGACAATGAAAATCTGCCCAGGCTTCCCAGGGAAGGTGAGGGAGAGAACAAGGTTAACCTGTTCCATCACCTACAAACATAGATATGGAAACTGAGGTCCACGCTATGCACGTGAAAAATGTTAAAATAACTTCTCCTTCCCTGCAGTTAGTGCACCCACATCATCTCTGCTTCCATTTATTCTATCTTGTCTTTAATGGGTGGGGAGAGAGATCATACCAACGGTTATAGCTTAGATGCACTGAAATCAGACACTGCAATAAAATGACCTCATAGGGCGTGTATCATTGTATTGCAACGTTGCTGAGCAGGGTGAGACCTTTGGCCTTTTGGCGAGAATCAACTGGATTGAGTAGATGGAGAAAACGTTCAGCAGATGGGCCCTTCTTAATCTTCTGCTGCACGATAAAAGTTTAGCCAGAAAACAGCAGTTACTGTGGATTGCACAGCCATTAGCTTTGTGCAGTCTCATAGAAGCAGAAATAAAAACCCTTTCTTTGAGGTACTGGTGGTTTTTCCAGTATTTTTGGCACTTTTTCCAATGTTGCTCCCTTAGTCTGTTAGATGTGCATCCCCTCTCCCTACACTTAACTAAGATTTTGGGATGGTTAAGATGCATGCCATGAGCACGGTTGCTGTCAGGTAAGACTGGGGACGTGTTTTCCAGAGTAATGAGCGTTTTAATCACTGTAATGTGTGTCTGATGGTTTAGCTCCTTAAAACAGATTATCAGCTTCTCGGTGCATGTACTGCATGGCTTTGAAACATCAGTGGCATGCATTGTTTTTATTCTTTGCTTCGTTTTCTTTATTGACGTGAAACGAATAAACATTTCCATTGTTGGCAGCATCAGTAATGAAGGCATCAGTAGCTACAGTGCTGAAGATTTATCCAATCCAAATTCAAGCATGGTGTCTTCAGAGGTGACAGGACAGAACAGTGTCTTGCAAGAACATGGAGGACAAACAGGCTCTGATTTCTTAAAGCAGGCTGCAGAAGCAAGAGAGAGAAGCCTGCCTACCTCAACACCTTTGGCAGACTGTGCCAAGGAACATGTCACAGCAGATCTCACAAGCAGCAGTGACAAGTTACCAACCTCAGGCTGCAATGAAGCAGTGCCATCGCCAGGTCCAGCAAATGGCAAAGAAGAGGGAATAGCACATGCCGTGTCTGCGGACAGAGGCCCAAAACGTGACAATACTGCTGCCACTTCTGTGAAAAACAGTGAGAACGATCCCAGAAAGCCAAGCCTGGAGCCCAGCCCTCCTGCAGCAATTGCAGAAATGCAAGGAGTCGCACAAATGAGTTCCAGTGAATTAGGATGGCTCTGGCAGAGTGAACAGCTGGGTGGCATGAGGGAACCACATGTCAGCACATTTCCCCAGGATAAAGAAGCAGGAGGTTATTTTACTGCTCAGGAGGCCAAGCAGGAGCGAGGAGTTTTGGAAGTAGGTCAGCTGCAGACTATAATGCAGCAAGGTAGACAGAACACAGATGGTGGAGAGGGCCTGCTAATGAAAAAGGAAACCTTAATCCTAAATTATCCAGCAACAGGAGGCTCAGACAGTGAAAAATTTGGAGCAATTGTGAATGCTCGGGGCTTCACTGAGATCAGTGAAGTCTGTAATCTACAGATGGGGGCTGTAACAACAGCTAAAGGGAATGAGGCAAATCCAGCTCTATCTGGAAGCAAAGGGGAGCAATCAGAAGCCCGTACTTTAATGTCAGAGTTGCCTTCCAACCCTCCACATCTCTTCCTGGTCCCAAAGCCTGGAGAGCCTTCGAGGGAATACATGCCTGAAAATGACTCTCAAGATGCGATGAGGAGTGAAGCATTGAAAACAGCCTCTGAAAAAAACGAACTTGTTTTTCAAAGAGAGCTTCAAAAGGAGGATGAGCTCGTTAGTGCCGAGCATTTCAGTGTGCCTTTATCATTTAAGCGAGAGGAAGAACAAAAATCAGCTGTCACAACTGAGAGCCCGAAAGATGAAGCCAGTAGCAGTGAAATTATAAAAGCTGATGATGTGTCTGGAGAAAGCACCACACTTTCTGAAACAGAAAGTATTATCAATCCTACCAAGGAAAGTTCCCTGGTAGATAAAAGACTATTGCTGGAAGAATATGCATTAAGTACTTCTCTGAGCAGATGCACAGAGCTGAATCAAAAAGAAACTGAGGTGGGTGTAACAGGAGAAAAAAAGGAAATCAGAACAGAGGAGGCACAAGAGAAATTACCTGAATTAAAAGAAAAAACAGAAACCAGTGAATTACCTGAGGGGTCCAGTGGGGCAGAAAGGCAATCATTGAACTCTGTTAGTAGCCACCACCAGGACGTGGGAAATACCAATTTGGGACACAATCCTGAAGAACTCAGTCTTTGTGAAAAGACTTCAGCAGGTGACTTAAGGGAGGAAGAGAGGGAAAAACCCCTGAATTTAGACAGCAACTTTAAATCGCCCAAAGACAATTCACACTCTCTTAGTTGTAAACCTGAACAACAAACGAGTAAAGAGAAAACAGCTGCCACAGATGATCTGGAGAATAAGCTCGTGGCTTCACCGCCATTTCCAAGGGAAGAATGCCCACCGAGTTTTCACTGCTGTACCACTGAAGCAGAAGACAAAGCTTTGGGCCAGCCAGGCTGTAACGGGACTGAAAAGGTTTGTTTAGCCAGTGCACACAGTCCACTGCTCCTCCACTCTGAGAACAACACTGTTCAGCAGAGTAAGCAGGATGAGTCCTGGGAAAAGGCTTTTGCTGGAGAAACTGTGTTAGAATCTGACTGCCAAACTGAGAGTCAAGAAAAGCCTGAGAGCTGTAGCGAGTCAGAAGAAAGTGCAAAGATGCACAAATCAAAACTCGAGCTCCAGGGCTTAAATGAGTTGGCAGGGACTACGGATCGCATGGCTGTACAAACCGAGGAGGCCTCACGGGATTCGGAAACCAAAGAATGGATCGGTCACATCACCGAAGTGCCTCACAGCGATCCGGAGCAAGGAACTGCAGCTGCAGCTGCGCAAAGCAGTGCTGTGGGTGGTAAAGAAAATAGGGATATTCAACAGGAGAAGCACCAAAGCGTGGTGAAAAGTTTCACGGAGGCCAAAGATTTGGCACCGAAAAGTGAACGTGAATCAGATGTGCTGATAGAAGCTCAGCAGGAGCAAGTGGCTGCAGAAAGTCACAGAAACATGCAGAGGGATTGTGCAGAAACCTCCCAAGCCAGAGCTGGTACTTCAGGAGTCAGTCTTCATCCAGTTCACATTGAGGAAGGGGGTGATGGCCACGTCAGTGAAAACAACTGCCCCTCTGGGAGTGCCACGTGCAGCTCTTCGGAGAGCCTGGGGAGCGGTATTGGAGAATTGCAGGAAAATGCAGATGTTCCGACTGCTCTTCCCCAAGCAGAGCGAATGGGGAAGTCAATGTCTGGTGACAGTGGCTGGATGTCAAATACGGGACTCGAACAACAGAAGCACCAGAGCAGTCTGACAGCTGTCACAAGAGCAGATGACCAGGAACACAAAGAAAGGGCACTAAAACCCAGACGGCCCTTGGACCTAAATAATCACAGCAACATACCAGCAATACCTCTAAACATTTCAAACAACCTTAATAAAGAATCTCCTGTGCTAGCTCCAGCACCGATCCAATGCGGCTCTGACCCAGCAAAAGAAAAGGACAAGGATAAAAGCAGTGCCGTGGTGTCAGAGATGTGCAGCAGCAAACACGGGCAGAATATTTCTGGTGTGCCCATGCTTAATTCGCAAGATTGCAACCAGCAAAACAAAACTGATCTCAAGGCAGAAGAAAACTGCCACAGTAAGCAAAACTCAGACAAGCCCGAGCGGGATAATAATTCTTTGATCTCAGCGAGTCAGCATGAAGCAGCATGTCATAGCGATATGTTTTCTAAAGAATCCGACAAGAATGAACAGCCAGGCAGCGTATGCAGGGTAGAGGATAATACTGGTGGAAGCTGTGCTGCTGCTATAAGCGCTCTTCCAGGGACACAGAATTCAGCAAGTGCCACTAACATATCACAGGCTTTGCCAAGCGATACGGAAATAGCACATACTTCTGATAATTCTGAGAAAAATGATCCGCAAATCTCTCGTCCAGAAACTCAAGGGAAAATGCCATTAATGGCAAAAAACTTGGAAAAGATTGAAAGTCTGACTGCTGATGGGGGAATCATCCGGAAAGATGGAAACACGGAGATAAGTTGTGAGGACAGTGCTTCTGTCGCAGACACCAGCAATGTGAAAAGTGATACAAGTCCAGGGGCACAAGGATCTCCTTCACCATCACAGGCACATGGGGAAGTGAATAAGTCGTACAAATCCAGCTGCGTTCAAAAGATATCAAAGGAGCCTGATTATTGTCAAGCAAATTTTACAGCCCTCTCTACACGGACCTCTGCACTCAGCCATCCTAGCCAGCAACCTGGAAACAATGGTGCTGGGGGGGATTTACTAAATAATGAGCTGGAAGTTGTAGCATGCCAAAACGCCCTAGAAAATAACTTTAATTTGCAGATTGCTGCAGGTTCTCAGGTGTCTGAGCACTTAGGTCTTTCACCCGGGGTAAGCACAGGTAAAACAGCAAGTTCAGAACACAGCTTTGCGAGGAATATGTGCGTGGATGAAAAAGATGTTCCAGGCCAAAGTTTTCAGGGTGATGGAGACAGAAGTTTAGCTCTGCCAGAGACTTTAAATGTGGGGCAAAGTACTGGAAACTTATCGCAGTTCAATTCCGAGAAGCTGAAGCAAGAGATACCTGCAATTAAATCCAAGGAAATAAAAAGCGAGGTAAACTTCAAAGAAGAGCAAAGTGACAGTTCAGCAGAGTCTCTGTTCGCTCTCCCTGCTCTAGAAGGGAAGCTGCTGAGCCTTTCATCTGTTGGTAAACAAGAAGGCTGTAATGAGGAAACTGCAACCAATATCTGCGTAGATGACAAGTGCGGTAAGATCTTAGGGAAACCTGGGAATTCAGAAAAAATGGAAGAGCCTTCAAAAGAGAATAATAACATAACCAGGGCAGAGATCAGTATTTCCAAGCAGTCTGTGGAGAGCTCTGGAAGGGAGCATGAGGCTCTGACTTGCAGCTCTCTGGACATTGGCTCCAGCCTCCCAGACTTTAGGGAGCATATCAGCCAGATATTTAAAAAAACGGTCCACAGCACGCTGAGTGCTGAATTACCCCAACTTTTGTCTGAAAACCATGCAGGCTTCAAGCAGAGTCCAGTGGCCAAGGATACGGCAGAACTGTGCGGCGCTGAGAAGTTCTCAGAATCAAACAAAGTGGGCAAAGGAGAAGCAGAGGGGCAAGATTTGTCTTTAGCTACTGAGGCTTCCTGCAAAGCTGCCGAAGGCAAATCTCTGCAACGAGAAGACGCAGTGGCAGAGCTGCCACCAGCAAGTCTCCAGGACACTGAGAAAAAGAGGCAGCCCGGTAGCTGTTTAGAAGTGGTGCTGAGACTGGATGGCGTTACACCTGCTGAGCGCGCTCCAGAAAATCTGCAAAAGCCAGGCAAAACCACCAAGCATCCAGAGAGCAGTGGGATGGAAAGAAAGGAAGGCGTGTGTGCTGGTGGCGTTGATCCTGAATCGCTAATAAGCTTAGAGATAAAGAAGCAAGGACCGGCTTCATGTGATGGGGCAGCAGCTGAGAACTGCCCTGCACATTCTGACGGTCAGCAGCAACCCACTGTGGCTGTTATCTCCACAGGCGATGTGCAGAAGAGTGACTTAGAAGATGCTGCTCCCGCAGAGAAAAATAACTTAATTACAGAGCGTAGTGCAGAACCAGTTTCATCTGAAGAAGATGTAAGTCTTCCCGCTGAACAGCGCCAGGATCCTCAGCCAAATGAACAGGGGAAAAGTGAGTACGGTGATCCAGACACTGCCGAGAGCACCTCCGACATGGCAGCTTCAACGCTTGTCCCGGGAGGATCTTACAATCATGAAAAACTGCCGGACAGTTTTAATGTGGCACCTGGGGAAAATCAGGAGGCACACATCCACAGAAATTTTATGCATGACATTAAGTCTCAGAATGACGCGCAGATGATACGAGATGATCCAGTAAATAGGAAATGCTTGGAAACATTGGAAAACTCACAAGATGCACAACAGGAAACTAAAATGACGGTGCATGGGTTAATAGATTACTTAAAAAATGAAGTAAGCCAGGATGATTGCTTGGAAACTGACTCCAAACTAGAATCTAGCAGTATGACTGAGGGAGACGTAAAAGAAAACCGTGACGTGGTGTTAGGCACAGCAAAAACAGGTAGCGAGGAAACTGGAGACATGCCTGAAACAGGTACTGCGAGGATGTTAGTCACTGGCGAAGGTGAGTTAGCTTTAAACACGAGCACTGAAGAGCAGGAGACAGACCTGTACAAAAACCACTCTCCAGCCGTTTCTGTGGTGGAGCAGGGCGAGCGTCCTGCTTGCACAGATACCACCGTTACTGAAAATCAGCCGAGCAAGATGAATTCAGAACACGAAAGCTCCCCTCAGGATGCCGAAAGAAAACTATCACCACTTGCATTAACTGAGCCTAAGAACCTCGACCTCACTGAATTTAAAGACACGGCTGCAGCAGGATTAGCTCCTGAAAGGTATTCACTTTAAATTACTGGGTGGAACGGTTGTCAGGACCCTGGGGCTTGATAGGGATACAATTTTCAAGGCGGATACCCATTGTCTGGGCGGTTTGGGAGGGCACGGCAGTTACTCTGTTCTTAAACTTCTATTAAATTTCTGTCGCTCCTAAGTGTGGACTACGTGGAAGAAATTTGAAATCATTTATAAGGGCAGACGAGCCCTAAAACCTGAGGAGCACAATTCTTACCTGTTCCATCTGCTGGTCCAGATTCCTGCCCTTACCCGTGTGGATTTGCTTACGCTCCTCAGTGTTCACATCTCGTAGCCTAAAGTTAGGCAAACAAATAGCACTTCCTGGCCTTAAGTTAGGAGGCTTTTGCCTAAGTTTTGGTGACCCAGTTAAATGAGACCTGCAGCGTTCACTCGGTGGATTGCAGTATTTAAAAACAAGCCTAGGGTATAACCCAATTACTCACACTGTTAGTTGTCTTGGCCTCCCTCTTATCCTCCTGCATACTATAATTGTATTGACAGTGCCTTTGATCACTGTGTTATTCAGTGTTTCTAATGACATGGAGTTGTTTCAGATGTGAATTCTTCTTAGCTGGGATTTGTGGAGCCTAAGAGTTGTTGTTAGTTATTTTCCAAACCTAGCAGTAACCGCTTTAAGACTTTTTTTTTTGTGAGTTTCTATTTTGCTGTCTGAATTCTCAGTTTGATGTGTAGTAAATTCAGAAGAAATATGATCTTAGAATCAGTGTTTTCCCTTTATCTAGTCATGGCACTGCTTCCTCCGTAACCTCAGCAACTCTCTTGCATGCTCTCCCTCTCCTTCCTGTACCAGAGGAGGTGGCTGTAGCTGGAACTGCTAAGAGACAACAGCAGAGCAGAAGGGTACGGTGAAAAGCTGAACTAGTTCAGAATCCTGCATAGATGGAGTCTTTCTAAGCATTACCAAAAAGTTAGATTATATTAGCTGAATAAGAAGGGAAAATGTTTCAGTGCCACATTCCTTAAAAAGTGATAAAACCATGTTGTAAGTGAAAATACCAGAAGTGTTTCTGTTGTTGTGAAAACACAGGGGAGGTTCTTCCTGTTGTACATGAGTCTGGGACAGAGACTGAATATAATCTAATTTTATGAGCAAAACATACATTAGAAGAATATTAGAAGTGTTGGAAGTCTGAAAAGGTGTATGACTTTCTCTTTAAGGATCTGTCTATAAAATGACAGGGAAATTAGACCTTGGTATTTCTCTCTAGCTCCTTCCCTTTCTTTTTGTTTCCTTTTGTATGATGGGAAGCTTCACAGTGGGGAAGCTTTCAAATTACCAAACAAATTGCTGGCGTGGCCTGGTTCAGAAGCCTTAAGGGGCTCTGGGCAGCACATGCATGTGTCTACACATGTGTTTTGTATCAGGGCAGGTATCCTGCTGTAAAGAAATACCTGTGGCAAGCAGGGCAGGGTTCTTGAAACAGCTGCTGGCAATTTGTGGAGTAGTTGCTTAATACTTGCATCTGCTTTAAGAATGCATTATCACCTGTTTTTCCAGCGTGAGGGTTTGTATCAAGAGGCAGCTGCTACTTTTGGGCTGCAGCCGTAAGTGGTGTCACGCTCACGCCACGGGCGCGTACGCACGCGGGAGATGCTGCGTGCGGAGCCCTACGTGGTTGCTGTGTTGTAGGATTAAACACTGGGGACTCTCAGAGGTGGAGAGGAGTCTCTGCTTTTGATCAGGCTGGTTTCTTAGAGGAATACGCATTTATAATGCAAAAGAGAAGTAAGAAAGCATTAGTTGAGCCAGCTGGTCTGTCTTCAGCGGGTCCAGTCCACTTTTCCTCTGAGCTTAAAACTGGTTTTGCATCGTTAAATTTCAAGCTGTATTCCATACTCCGTGTACTCCAGCCACAACACTTGTTGCTGCAGAGTGGTTTCCAGTTGTTTATTGCCCTCTGATCCTTACAGAGGAGAAACTACTATAGCCATGCAAAAAAAAAAGTGCACATTTCTAAGAGCTGACTGTGAGAATCTGGGCCTGATGGAAAGAACACCAAGTAGACAGAATCCTCCTTTGCTCTCAAAATAAATAAATAGTTAGAAGCAAGAAGTATATTATATTTAGGAGAAAGAAATTATGCGTTCTGAATTATTTCAACATTGTTTTCTCCCATCTCCACTGCTTCTGTATAGCTCCATCTCTTACAAGGTCTCATGTTGAAACTCCACTGAACTGTAGGTGAGGTGGCAAAGTGGCATGGTCTGACTTTTAAATCCTTGTTAGGATTTCTTCCTGCAGAGGAAATAGAGGAATTTCCTTCCTGCGAGGCTATGGCACTGGGTAGGAGGGTGGTCTTGGGATGTAGAGTAGATCCAAGGACTGTCTGCAATGATTCCTCCCCCCACCTCCTTTAGTGGTCAACAAATATAAAAGAGCTTTTGTGTTTGAAGGCAATAGCATGACATCAATAGCTTCCCTTCAAATCTTTAGTAAAAAAGGACAATTATTTTTGAAAAGGAGACTGTGGGTGAAGCATTAGAATCATAGAATGGTTTGGGTTGGAAGGGACCTCAAAGATCATCTAGTTTCAACCCTCCTGCCATGGGCAGGGACACCCTCCACTGCACCAGGTTGCCCAAAGCCTCATCCAACCTGGCCTTGAACACTTCCAGGGATGGGGCATCTGCAACTTCTCAGGCAACCTGTTCCAGTGCCTCACCACCCTCAGAGTGAAAAATTTCTTTCTTATATCCAATCTAAATCTCCCCTCTTTCAGTTTAAATCCATTGCCCCTTGTCCTATCACTACATGCCCTTGTCAAAAGTCCCTCTCCAGCTTTCTTGTAGCCCCTTTAAGTCCTGGAAGGCTGCAATAAGATCACCCCAGCGCCTTCTCTTCTCCATGCTGAACAGCCCCAACTCTCTCAGCCTGCCTCCATAGCAGAGATGCTCCAGCCCTCTGATCATCTTCGTGGCCCTCCTCTGGACTCATTCCAGCAGCTCCATGTCCTTCTTGTGTTGGGAAGGACAGTTAGCCCCACTTTCTTGTGGAAGTTCAGCTGTGCTATTAGCAGAAGTTAGGGAAAGGTTGGATTTTGGCAAACCTGACTGCCCACACTGAAAAAGAGTCAGAAAATAACCCTTTCTTTGATGGTTTTGACATTTCTATCTCCCTGTCAAGTCTGTGGCTGAAAGCCTGCGTTCATAATGGCCACATTTGGGCATCAAAATGTGTTCCTTCCCACTTATTATTGGGCATCTGGCCGCTCCATTTTCCTGTCTTGAGTTTTACTTGGAAAGGAAAAACAGGACTTTAGAGGGTTTTTTTCTCCTTTTGCAATGTTTATACTCATACTTCTTCATTCTTTTATGGAGAGAGAAAGGAGGTTCATGAATGCACAGGGCGTCCTTATACCTTATGCCACTGAAATGCTCCTGTTTGCCTCTTGGGGTATGGCAGACATTGAGCAGAGCATGGAACAAAATTGGAAACGATGGCAAAATATTAGAAATGTTTAGAGGTGGCATGGAGTTTTTGACAGCCTCCCATAATTCTGCTGGCTGGGACGTGCAAACTGCCATTGTCTCTTGGAGAAAGTGCCAAGGGAGCTTTTTGGGGTGGAGACTATGAAGTCATTCCCAGATGTGCATCTGTAAGGTACGGAGAACAGGTTGCATCATTGGCTGATTTGTTGGTTTGGCAAAACGCTTGGCTTGTTAACAGGCCTTTGGGTGTTCCAGGGTGGTGGAGATGCTGACAGCTTCCACTTGGGGCTGAGTGTGCCAGTGAGGGAAGAGCACAAGGAGCCGTGAGCATGCTCCCAGCAATGACTCCTTTGCAGTAAGGCGAGGTTCTCCTCCGCGTCCCTCGGCAGAACCGGTTTGCTGCACGGAGCAGAACGGGCTGTGCTCGCTGCAGTGCCGAGCAATACGCCCGGTGCCTTCAGCTGCCTCGAACGTGGGAGGGCATTGTGCAGCCTTGGCCTTCCCAGAGCTTCTGGTGCTGCTGACTTCTTCTGGAGCTTATGGTGCAGGAGCGATCCTTATTCCAGCCTGTCTGTGCAAATGAACAGACAAGATGCAGTGCTTTCATGGCTGTACTCATCCAGGGGCTCGTTCTTTCCTGGTGGAGCCTGAACCTTCCTTGCTGGCTGTACCTCAACCTGCTCCTCACTACGTGAGTGGCACATAAAGCAAGCTGTAAAGGGTGAGGAGACTGTGGCATTGCACCATGGTGCAATGGGGGACAAGTGCTTCCTGACAGTTTTGGCACCCCAAGAAACTCCGCCAGGAGGGCCCTTTCCCAGCTCTAGCACCATATTGTAGGTGCTCTCCTATTGCTGCCATTAGTTTTTAGAGAGCGGAGAGTTCTGCTGTGTTGACTCACATCACTTGTAAATCTAAACAATATTCTTCTACGGGAAGTACATTGCAGCAGTTGACATCAGCAAAGCTACTGGAAAAACATTCTTTGTATCCCATGCATAGGTCAGACAAAATCTCTAAAGTTGGTCCAGACATACTTTTGGATTTTCTTCATGCTTTGTTCTTGCCATCAAAAATAGGCAAGTTCAATAAGTCTGAAAAGAGTGTTCGCTCCTTGGTAAATACTGACTTGGTCTTTTTTGTCTGCATAACGAGTACAGTATTAAATATTTTAACAGTCTCACTGGATGAGGTATGGAATGTAGAACTGCTTGTGTCGTTAGCATCTGAAAACAAAGAGTTTGAAGTTAAAAGGAAACTTATCAAAACAGTGATTGTGCAGCTTGTTTTATTTCTCTATTTTTTTCAACTTCAAAATTAACTCAAGTGTGCAGCATCTCAGGATCACAAAACAAAGGGAAAATAGCTGAAGGTGATTTATACGTAAATGAAATGCACAAAATTAATCAGGCTATTTGTTTCTCTTTCATGCCCTTCTCCCTTTGCATCTGAATTATTTCTCTTTATTTCTCCCCCATCTCACTGTCATCATTATCCTCAGTAGGTGCAACTGTTAGAACAGTTGTGCTTT